CTGACTCACCCCAGTGCGAGTGATTTTCTTTCTGTTGCAGAGTGAAAAACCCGTTTGGCTGCATTTGGATGTTCCCTTTTGTGCTGTTYCAAAAGCGCTTCCTCTCGGCTGCTCTGCCCTGCCAAGGATGCCCCAGAAAATCACTGAAAAAACCCAAAATCTGCCCAATTCCACCTAGGATAGGAAAAACAATCAGGGTGTTAGTCCTGAGAGCTCGGCCTTCCCGAGCCTGGCTTGATYCTGGAAGGTTTTTACAAGTTTAAAACTTTCTTTCTTTAGGAAAACCCTTCTCCAGCTGGCACAGAGTCAGAGTTTTGCATATTTTAAAATGCAAATGCCCGGTCCCAGCCTGCAGCTCTCCTTTGGGTCTCTCGAGCTTACCTAGGCTCTGCTCCAGACTTTGTGCTCCCAGCCTGTCCTGGCCCAGCCTGAACATCTCCAGATCATCTCCAGAGCGGTGGCTCATGTCCCTTTCTCTGAGCTTTGTTCCTATGAATTGCTGTGACAGTGACAATCGGTGTCTGTGGGGTCGATATTTCCCATATTGCCCTCAGCTCAGCTCAGCTCAGCTCAGCCCAGCTCAGCTCAGCCCAGCTCAGCTCAGCTCAGCTCAACTCAGCTCAGCTCAGCTCAGCTCAGCTCAGCCCAGCTCAGCTCAGCTCAGCTCAGCTCAGCTCAGCTCAGCTCCAGGCTATGACACAGGTCCATCCATATCCAAGGGAAATTCATTCCTTTGATGGATTTCCCCTGTTTTTTGCCAATTGGATTTTTTTTTTTTTTCATTGTGTGGGTCTCCCCTGATCATTCAGGGATCCCATCAGATTATTTTGGGAAACTACCCCAGTGCAAGAGTTTTATTGATTTATCAGTGCAAGAGATTTATTGATTTACCAGTGGCACAATAGCGTGATTCAAGCAATATTGAGAAATACTGAGAAATACAAGCAATACTGAGAAATGCTTAAAAAAGCTGATTGTATTTCTCATCTTTGCTCCCAGTGAATTGTTCAGACCCTGCTAAATTTGTATTCTTTTAGTTTGGAATGCTAAATTTGTATTCTTTTAGTTTGGAATGCTAAATTTATATTATTTTAGTCTGGAATGCTAAATTCGTATTCTTTTAGTTTAGAATGCTAAGTTGGTATTCTTTTAGTTAGGAATGCTAAATTTGTATTCTTTTAGTTTGGAATGCTAAATTTGTATTATTTTAATTTGGAATGCTGAATTTGTATTATGCATCTTCTATGTTGCATTTCCAGAAGAGACAAAAAGCAAAACTTGCATTCTTTAAACAAAGAGGAAAGCGCACAGACCCTGCAGAGCCACCTGCTTAAATTTAGTAAAAGTACAGGGAAATGATTCACCCCGAAAGTGGAGATTTTGCAACAGTGAAAGCAGCGCTGAGTCCTTTCCCCTCTGTCTGCTGGGTTTGCTCTCCAGGAGCTCGGGGAGCGCTCTGAGATTATCCAGAGGGGTTTTACCCATCCTGTGTGGGTACAGAGGGGTTTTTTACCCATCCCAAGGGCTCCTCAGCTCCCTGAGTGCAGAACCACGCTCCAACTCTCCACCAGGATTGCACAAACCAATCGTCCTTATTCAAACAGATCCGCATTTTGCTCGTGTTCAGAGAAAGCAGAACMAATTTGTTACTATTTTGTGCGTTTAGGACAAAAATAATTCATTGTGCAAGAGGCTCGTGAAGAACACTTTTAAAATACTTCAGTAATACTTTTTTCCTGTTTTGTACTAACTCAATTTGCTTCTTAAACCTCCCTGGCTGCTCGGYTGASGATTTGCAATTCTAAATTGAGATTMAAATYGAWGTGATTTTTTTTTTCTAGTGARAAATCTTTAAGAAATGTTTTTGTGGCAATAAGAAAGCGATGCCAAGCGGGAGTTTGTGTATTTTGGTGAACAGAGCTGAGCAGAGCTCCCTCTCCTGTTCCAGACTGAGCTGTTCTGGGTCATCCCTCGGCTCTGCAGAGAAAGAGCGGCGCTATTAAAAACACCTCAGTACTTGTTACATCAATGAATATTTATTTATTTTTAAAACATAGTAAATATTAAAAAAAAAAAACACACTAGGAAGGTGATCTCAATAAACCTTTGGTTCCCAGATGTCCTTGCTTTTTCTGGTCCGTGTTTGTGAGGCAGTAGAGAAACTCTGTCCGTGCAAGAGCAGTCCGGGAACATTTCCAGAAACCATCATTGTTTTTGACAGTCAGCGTTTGCTGTCGCTTTGCAGAGCTAAAGTGCCTTAACTTTGAGTTTATTCAACTCCCCTGAACGCGGGAGAGCCGGTTCGGCTGGCGGGTAACGCCAGGGCTGATCCCCCCGTTCCTTCCTCCGTCCTTTGCCCGTCGCTGCGGACCGAGGGCGGTGTTTTCGGGCACTCATGGCCTGAGCGCAGCTGCAGCCAAATTCCYGCTGTTTTGGGCTCAGAGGACGTGCAGGTAGGTGACGGCGGTGTCCGTGCCCAGGGGGCTGCTGGCCGTGCACTCGTAGGGGCCCGAATCGGAGGGTCGGGGGTTCCGCAGGAGCAGCGTTCCCGTGGGATGGAGCAGCTCTCCCGCCGCTCCCCGGCGAGCTGTGGAGAGCACGGAGCCGTCGGGCAGGCGCCAGGTGATTTCTGGAGTGGGAATGCCCAGCACGACGCAGTGGAGCTGCAGCGCTGCCCCCGGCGCGGTGCGGATGGCCGGAGGGGCTCTGGCCACGATCCGCGGGGCGCGGGATGTCACCGCCACGGCGACAGCGAGGGAGGCGACACCGGCATCGTTGTGAGCCCTGCACYGGTAACTCCCCGCGTCCAGGGCCGAGGCTGCCCGGATGAGCAGRGTGCCGTTTTCCAGCAGCACAAATCGCCCGCTGAGCTGCGGCCGCTGCAGCACCCGCCCGTCCGGCAGCGTCCACTCCACSCGGGGCTTGGGGCTGCCCTCGGCCGCGCAGTGCAGGGACAGAGGCTCCCCGCTGACCCCCTTCAGCAGCCCTGCGGGTCCGGTGAGGATGCGGGGCTTCTGGGCCACCTCCAGCASCAGCAGCTTCTCGATGTAGCCCACCTGGTTCCGCGCAGCGCAGCGGTACCGCCCGGCGTGCGGCCSCTCGGGGCTCGGGATGCTCAGGGTTCCATCGCTTCCCGTGGAAAAGCGGGGTGTCCTGGTGCCGCTGGAAAGCCAGGTGCCGTTGGGCAGCATCCAGCTGACGTCCGGGGGAGGGTTTCCATCCACGGAGCAGTTCAGCGTGACGGCTCTGCCGGCTTTCGCGACGATCCGTTCGTTGAGCGGGTTTTTGAAGGTGGGTCGCCGCAGCATCTCGGTCACCTCCAGCCGCACCACCAGCGCGGCCTCGCCGCCCTCGTTCCGGGCCACGCASACAAACTCGGCCGCGTCCGAGGGCCTGACGTTCCGGATCTCCAGGGTGCCGTTTTGGTGCACGGCGATCCTGCTGCCGTAATAGGGCGCCGTCAGGAAAATGTTATCGGGCACGACCCACACGATCCGAGGCGGCGGCGTCCCCTCCGCCCGGCACTCGATGTGCTTCTTGGAGTGCCTCACGGCCGTCACCTTCACCACGGTCCTGTTGCCGTGCAGACCGTTGATGGTGGGGGGTTTGGGGGCCACCCGCAGCTCGTAGAGTTTGGTGTCAGCCCCTCCCGGGTTCCGAGCCGCGCACACGTACTGCCCGGCGTCCGGCAGCCCGGCCTGCCCGATGGACAGAGAGCCGTTGGGGTGCAGCGAGAGCCGCTCTGCGGACGAGGAGAGGGTCTCCCCCGAGGGCAGCAGCCACGAAATGGTCTCCCCCGAGGGCAGCAGCCACGAAATCCGCGGCCGGGGCTCTCCGTCCGCCTCGCAGTCCAGCAGCGCCGCGTCCCCGGCTGTCACCGTGAGCCACAATGTTTTATCTTTGTGCTTTATCCGCGGCGCCGCCGCCACCACCGTGAGCTGGATCCGCATCTCGGCGCTGCCCAGAGCGTTGTGGGCATAGCACGTGTAGAGTCCCGCGTGTGCCAGGCCGGCTCTGCGGAGGAGCAGCGTGCCGTTATYSAACAGGAGGAACCCGCTGGAGCTGWGCCCGCTGTSCCCCGCGCTGCTGAGCCGCGTCCCGTCCGGCAGAGCCCAGGACACCCGCGGCACGGGCCACCCCGAGGCCTTGCAGTCCGCCCGAAAATCCTCCCCGTAGGGCACTCGCGTCCGGAGCTGCTGCCCGTGCTCGATCTTGGCGGGTTCCATCGCCATGCCGACCCTCATCAGCGCCACATCGTCCCCCRCTCTGTTCCTCGCCACGCACACATAATCGCCCGCGTCCTTGTCCGTCACTGCCTCGATGGCCAGCGATCCGTTGGGGTAGACGTGGATCCGACTTCCCATCCTRTTGTGGGGACAGAGAGAGGGAAATATTACTGAAACAACTGCTGGGGGTGAATACTGAGACTGATGGTGTCGGCAGGGTGACATGACAGAGCAGCTCTTTCCAAAGCACCGTGCCCTCMGCGGTGTCACTGGTGTCACTGTCAGCTCTGTGTCATGTTCATGGAGCAGTGCTGAGCCTGTGGGGAGCACCCTGAGCTGTGGGAGGGGGTGGGGGAGGCCCCCAAAGGCAAACTCGGCAGAGACTACAGAAACCTCTCCCTCTCAAGCCCTGTTTCACAAATGTTTTACGAGTAAGTTCTCTGAACCGGCAGGAGTCAGCCAGCGCACGATGACAGGAGCTTAATTCAAAGTGACTGACACCTTTTTGGAGGAGAGCTTGCCCCCTCCAAATTAATTAACGTGATGTGTTAGTAGATGTAAAACAACGAGCTGTTAGCACAGAGAAGTGTTTCATCACCGTTGAATGCATGCTTAAAAATTAAAAGTTTAGTTGACAGTGTTTTATTGCTGTGATACAATAGAGGAGGCAGAGTTTGAGGCTCCAAACAGGCTCCTACCTGTGCCACTGGTCCACCACGGCCCTGGAGGGCAGCCTCCAGATAATCCTGGGTTCGGGGTCCCCGCTGGCCGTGCAGTTCAGGAGCAGCCTCTCCCCAAATCTCAGCCGAGTCAGCTCCGCAGAGGCGGCGGCGATTTTGGGCAGCGCGTCTCGGCGCTGCACGGCCAGGATGACCACCCTCCTGTCGGAGCCCGTGGAGCTGGTGGCGATGCACTCGTAGGTGCCGCTGTGGGCAGGAGCGATGCTGCCCAGGCGCAAAGTTCCGTCCGGGAGCACCGAGAGCCCCGAGCGCGGCGGCCGCAGCGGGGTCAGCACGGCCCCGTCGGGGAGCACCCAGTGCACCGCGGGCTCRGGCTTTCCTTGCGCCGTGCAGGGCAGCTCCAGGCTCTGCCCCGCCGCTGCCAGCACGCTCTGCCTCCGCTCCTCCAGGATGCTCGGAGGGGCCGCCACCACCTGCAGCCGCACGGCCACGGCGGCGGTGCCCGCGGCGTTTTGGGCCAGGCACGTGTAGAGCCCGCGGTCGAACACGCTGACCGCTCGGATGACCAGAGTGCCGTCCGGCTCCACGCCGGCCCGCTGCTTTCCCCAGGAGGAGGAGGAGGAGGAGGAGCGGGAGAGGCGCGTCCCGTTCGCCAGGAGCCAGGAGATGCTGGGAGCGGGTCTGCCCTCGGCCCGGCACGGCACGGCCACGCTGCTGCCCGAATGAGCGGTCAGCAGGCGCTGGGGGCCGCCGGCCACGCGGGGAGGGATGGCCAGCACGGCCAGGGTGACCAGGAGCCGAGCCGAGCCGTGCGCGTTGGCCGCCGTGCACCGGTACTGCCCGCTGTCCTGCGGCCCTGCCCGCGGGATGGACAGAGTCCCGTTGGCCAGCACCAGCCACCGGCCAGCGCCGCCGTGTCCCGGAGTGTCGGAGCCTGCGGAACGAGGGACAGCAGCGTGTCAGAACCGCCCCGGCCCCAAATACCCCGGCCCCAAATACCCCGGCCCGACTGTCCCCGGCACCGCCGTGTCCTGGAACGAGGGACAGCAGCGTGTCAGAACTGCCCCAAACACCCCGTCCCGACTGCTTTGCCCAAATAACCCCGACAACAGCGATAAAACGCAGAGAAATCAGAGTATTCTGCACACAGAGTGACCAAGTTCTAAACTAAGAATGAAGATTAATCTCCAGCAAAGTTTGGGTGAAGCAGGTGGGCTTGCAATCAGCTGCATTTGAGTTGTTTTTCACCGCATTTTTCACTTGTCTCACTGTTCTGGTAATGTAAAATAAAGATTGGATTCTTCCCACAGTAAGCAAGGAATTATAGTTAAATATCTTGTTAATTTTTTTTTGTTTGTTTTTGTTTTTTCTTTTTTTTTTTAATCATTTCCCTTAAGAGCTGCTCCAGAATCTGCACTAAGATGCTCCAGCGAGTCTCTGTCGCTCTTTCCAACCCCTTTCACCTTTCACTGGTGTCTCACAGGACTCTGACCTTGAGTTTGGCACACACCGGAGGTGCCAAATTGCGGAACTGACGGAAGGTAAATTCTAGAGATGTTTATCAAACTCACCTGACGGCACCTTGGTCCACTCTATGACCGGAGGGGGGTTCCCGGTGGCCTCACAAGGAATGAAAGCATCGGAATCCGCCAGCAGAGTGAAAGCAGCCAAATTTCCCCCGACTATTCTGGGCTTTGAAAAACGATCTCCGCTCGCAGAGCCCGAGCTGACGGGGTTGGGGGTGGTGGTGGTGGGGTCTCGATGTTGTTGTGTCCTTCCAGACCCGCCGTGGCCGGAGCTGTCCGTGTCCCTTTCCCGCGGGGGTGCGGTCAGTGGTGCCCGCGGTGTGGTCACTGTCCTGGCGGTCACTGTCCTGGCGGTCACTGTCCTGGCGGTCACTGTCCTGGCGGTCAGTGGTGCCCGCGGTG